CCTTCAGAACACGGCCAAAGAGCCCTAAAAACCCACAACAACCATGGGGGATATGGCTCAGCAAAACTACAAGCAAGAAGGATCTTGGAATTGTCGTAGATCACAAGCTAAATATGAGCCAAGTGTGATGTGGCCTTTAAAAAAAAGGCAAATGCAATATTAGGCTGCATTAATAGAAGTCTAGTTGCCAAATTCTGTGAGGTTCTAGTCCCCCTCTATTCAGCACTGGTTAGGCCTCACCTTGTGTGTTGTGTTCAGTTCTGGACACCACACTTCAAGAAGGATGCTAACAAATTGGAACAGGTTCAGAGGAGGGCGACAAGGATGATCAGGGGGCGGGAAACAAAGCCTTATGAGGAAAGGCTGAAAGAATTGGACATGTTTAGCCTTGAGAAAAGAAGACTGAGGGGTGATATGATAACACTTTTCAAATATTTGAAAGGCTGTCATACAGAGGAGGGGCAAGATCTGTTATCAATCATCCCAGAGTGCAGGACACGTAACAATGGGCTCAAGTTACAGGAAGACAGATTTCAATTGAATATCAGGAAAAACTTCCTAACTGTTAGAGCAGTACGAGAGTGGAACCAGTTACCTTGGGAGTTGGTGAGTGCTCCAACATTGGAGGCATTCATGAAAAACTTAGATAATCACCTGGCAGATATGCTTTGATTGTATTCTTGCATTGAGTAGGGGGTTGGACTTGATGGCCTTGTAGGCCCCTTCCAACTTTGCTTTTCTATGATTCTATGAGTGATATGGATCTTAAATCTTTTGCCATCTGTTTCTGTACAGCATGAACATGAGACTATGAAAAGAAACACCTGCTTTTTGTAGTGATTAGACATCACCTTTTTTTTGCAACTTGATTGCTTTAAAAATCTGCCCACATGTTAATCCCAGTGATCTGAAACCTTTTCAGTAGGTGCCACAATTTTTCTGTTGATTAATTGCAAGGGTTAATTAAATGTGTGAAAGTAATAAAGTGGTGTTCAGGATGATATTCAGGTAAATGCTGAAGTGATGCAACGAATCTTAATGTCACTTGAATAACTTTTGATTGAATGAGTTTTTTCTGGGTATGAATTAATTAATTCAAGGGTTATTTTTAGGCTCCTTGATCACTTAGAGCAAACTGTTTTTCTACCATTTGATGATCAAGTAATTTTTAATGTTAGAAGTAAATACTTCTGGTAGATATCTTTTTTCACAAACTGAGTAACATACAGAAGTAGATTATCCAGTCATATTTTATAATTTTAAAAATGGTTGTGGTAGAAAATGTCTTTTTTTGTGTACTTTTAAAGCAACATTTGTTGTCCCTTGCAGAGACTTGTGTTCAGAGACAAAGTTTCTTTCTTAATCTATATAGCCCTAAACAAACTTTCCAGGAAGTTAGCCTGGTTTCTAAAAAAACCAGAAGTTGGGGGGACGGAAGCCCCTCTGATAGACCAAAAAAAACCCCTGAATTTTAACTATGATGTTTTGCTTCTTGCTCTGAAAATACGATGGGTTTTTAAGCAACATTATTCATAATTTATTTAAAATGAATTAGGAACCTACAGTCAACCCTCGACTTACAAACTTAATCCGTTCTGGAAGGACGTTCGTACGTCAAAAAATTCGTAAGTTGAACACACACACACCATTGAAATGCATGGGAACGGAATTAATCTGTTCCAACATTTTTTAAAAAATACCAAAATAAAAATAAAAAGAGCAAGTCCCACGCTGG